ATAAGTTTCTTGCCGACTTATTTTTAACTATGGATAAACATATGCTTGTTATCACTGTCATAAATATATATATATATATATATATATATATAATATTATTTTGTCTTGTGAACACAGCATTCCATTAGTATTCTTTTCTTTCAAAGTTTTTGGTATTCCTTTTCTGTTGTTATTACGCTGAGTATCGTTTGAAAGAACATATGTATAATTTTGAGGATGTCGTTGTCTTTATTTAATTATTTAGGTTCATTACCATACGGAATCGTCAACCAGTAGGATGTAAAGAAGCTATTAGATAAAGAAGGAATAGGAAAACAGCGAGCGATATACAATATTTTTTAATCATGTTATTATCTTCTGCAATATGATGTTTATTCGCATATGTCATCCCTTTTTATACTAATAGCGACGTAGGTGGCAAAGAAATAGTTTGTCATACATTAAAAAATCTATCTTTGTATGTACCTATAGGCTATAAAAATCTAATAACAGCAGAGATGACAGTGCTTTGCATTGCCCTCTTCATTTTTCTGCACACGACTGCAGCTCTATATAGCTGTTTGGTTTAAAATTTTAGATTTTTTATATTAGAACATTTCCCCCCATTTCTGTTGACTAAAATTAAATAGATCTACGCTATAAGCCCACATCAGCTTTTTAAATTCTTCAGAAGCATTCTTTCTCACTTACTTTCTGACACCATGGCAACTCCTCGCAGCGCAAAGAAGACTTCCCGCAAGAACAACTCAAGGTCGGCGAGGGCTGGTCTCATCTTCCCAGTGGGTCGCGTTGGTTCATTGCTTCGCCGTGGGCAATACGCCCCCCGCGTTGGTGCCTCGGGTGCCGTGTATATGACCGCCGTACTTGAGTACTTGACAGCTGAGCTCCTGGAGCTCTCTGTGAAGTATTCTACCATGTCCAGTAAGAAGAGGCACCGCCTGTCCCCGCGCACTCTCACCATGGCGGTGCGCAATGATGCCGATCTCGGTGAGCTCCTCAAGCACGTAACCGTTTCCCATGGTGGTGTGGTGCCAAGCGTAAACAAGGCCCTTGCAAAGAAACACAAAGGAGGTAAGCGCAGTAAGGTTGCTCACGCCGCCTGAAAAGACCTGATGTTTCTTCTTTCAAGGATTTCATAGATGTTTTTTTTCCCGATTATTATTTTTCCTTTTTTATTATTTTCATTTTTTTAATTTCAGGTTCCAAATACAATTTCTCTAGGTAAATGATCGAATATATATATATATATAAGAAGGTAAATCATTTATGTGTCCGTCTCTTTCACGGCGGTAAATGCTCATCATGTATGTTAATTTTATACCTCAAGTGAAGCTTATCAACATTTCTAAGATTATCTTTCCTAATACTTGTTTTCTCTTTTTTTTTGTGAATGGTATCCGATTCAATTGTTTTAGAAACCATCAGGGTATACTGTAGATAAACCACTTTTTATTACGATTAAGGGATTGCTGTTTGGACTAATGGTATGTACAGACATCTTTTTATCTAAACACATTCAATAGTGTGGATGATGCAGGATCGTCAACCGTTAAGTTTTCCGTTGTTTCACGCACATAATTCAAACAAGGGGGTATATGATACCGATGCTGATGAATCTGAACTGGCGGATACTGACTCTTCGCCGCACGAACTGGTGACCCTCATTTTGGAGGGTTCCCGCGTGGGGTGTGCCAAGTATTCGCCTTATACTTGTATCGTCGAGGTGTTTGAAGCTGGAGCTCTGTTTGGAGTTGGTAGTGGTAGCCGCTGCAGGACAGGCATTACCGGAAAGGGCACGAATCAGCGCATACTTCCTGTCCTTACTCAAGATGATATTCCTTCAAGCTTGCTTTGGTTAGTACGGATTCTGGAGACCCATCGACCCCTTATTTTTCTGCCAAGCGAAGGTTCGGAGCCATTGGCGGAAATTTGCCACTTATTAGGCTTTATACCATCCCACCTTTCCAGAACGAGCGCTTTCAACCCCAATGATGTAATTCCACAGCTTTTGCGTATGTATCCACATCTTACAACGGAAGAAATCTCATCCCGATTCAACTTTAATCACAAGGCTATGTTGTCTGCCATGTCTGCTTTACTCAGGTACACTTCTTTAGTACAATCCAATATTCACAATATCGTGGAACGTATGCCCTATGGGATCATGTATATAGATGCTGCCGCGATTCAATGGCTTCAGCTAACCCGGACAGAACGCCATCCATGTGCCTACCAGGGTATTGGTCAACCAAAGGAGGGTCTTTCTTTGTTTAGCGTTGTGAATCAGACCGTAACTGCGTTTGGGCGTGCTCTCCTTCGTCAGTGGTTTGCGCTCCCTAGCTGCGATTTAGACGAACTGCAACAGCGACAGCAGGTAGTGCAATATTTTTCAGCGGTCTGTTGTCGAGAAACCCAACAGCAGATTCGCAGTGCACTCAAAAAATTACACCCAACAGATCCTATCTTCACGCTTATGAGACGCGGCAAGGCAACACTAAGGCACTATCGCCTATTATTGCAAACTATGCATGGACTTATTGCATTGCATACCCTTCTTTTGCCCATAGCTCATGAAGTGAATTTTTTGCGCAACCTCATGAATAGTTTTAACATGGAATCGATTCAGAACATGGCCTCGACTTTGGAAAACTCCATATTTTGTATTCTTCAGCTCACTCAGATAAATCGTGATCGCAACTATCGACGTAATAGCACAACAGACGGTCAGCGTGGCGATAATTTTCTATATAACGTCGCTTACATGGTGAACCGTGATCACTGCAAAGTAGACTGCTATGCGGTAACTCTTCAATGGGGCGTCGACGGTGTACTGGATGAGCTGCGGGAGCATTATGCTTATCTACCATCTATTCTTGAGCAGAAAGCCAAAGAGAGTGAACAGGAATTGTTGAGGGATATGGGCAAGACAGATGCATACATAAGAAGGGCATTGTGCACTCTTCGGTGTACCCAAATAGGGACCCTTGGCTACGTTTTGTCCCTCAATGAGGAAGCTTTTCTTTCCTGCTTGTTGCAATCCTCTGGTGTGGGAAAAGAGAGAGCTACCTATTTTGAAGAATCCTTACGTGGCTCCTCACCTCACCCGCCGAGGACCTTGAGTGTCAATAACGATAATCCTTACCTCACTTCTCTAAGTTCAGATGGAGATGTATTAAACCAGTTTTGCTTGAAGTACAATTGGGAATATGTGCAAACTTCCGAGGGGTTGCTTCACTTCAAAACAAGCAAAATGAAGGAACTCGACGCTTACGTTGGCGATCTCCTCCAGCGTATGATCATGCGCGAAAATGATGTGCGACGCGAGTTGGAAGAGGAACTACTGAGGTGCTCTTTAGATTTGCTGAAACCGGCACGGCCACTAGCAGAGCTGGACTGTCTCCTAAGTTTTGCGTATTGTGCGACGGAGTTCCAGTGGGTCTGTCCGCGACTTGTCAGGAAACGCGGTCTGGTGCATATTGTTGACGGATGGCATCCCCTTTTGCAACAGGTTCTTCGTGGCAACGAGCTTGTTCCCTTTACCTTTATTGCTAATGACACGAGTGAGCAGGTCTGCGTTGTGGCAGGTGAGAGTGGGAGTGGAAAGTCTGCGTTGATCAGTGCCATCGCGCAAATCATTATTCTTGCCCAACTGGGCTCCTTTGTGCCCTCGCGCGAAGCGACACTTGGACTTTTCAGTTATATCATTACTTGTAATTCTACAGGTATGGTTCCAGAACAGCTTTCAAGCTTTCAATCTGAATGTTTGCAAGTGAATCGCATGTTGCGTCATTGTGCCTACGAGCGTATCACCGCTGCGGCTACTTTCCACGAAGCTACAAAGGAACCGCTCAAGGGGTGTAGAGAAAAAAATGACAAGTGCGAAGACAAAAATATCGTAATGGATGACACCTCTCGACCTTGCGGTAACACAACGGTTTCAGGTCTTAGTACCGAGCCAGAGCATCATTTGACAGGTACGCTGATACTCATAGATGACATTGGCCGTGGTACAACACCACATGACGCTATGGCGCTTCTCGGCGCCGTTTTACGTTACTTGGTTGGCCTAAAAGTCTCTGATTCGTATGCCGATCTTACTGAAAACGTTGACGGCTGTATCTCCGACACTCATGTGGGGTACCTCCATGACATATCAGAGGTTTTATGCCCAACCGTACTTTGTGCAACCCGTTTTTATGAGCTTATGGAAGTAGGCCAGCAATATATTAACAATACAAAAATGAATACGACGGTTCCCTCCGATAGGAACACAGATAAAAATGATGAGTCGCTGCGTTCTGAGCTACTTCGCTTTCCTTTCGAACGGATTACCTTTTACAATTTACCATGCTTGGCGGTATACCCCGATCAGAAAAGGACCCAGAGCTCATTTATGAAGCATGGAGCGTCTGAAGAAGAGGTGGTTTGCGTGGAAGATATATCATACAGTCATCAGCATAAGACAGAAAAAGTCACTACATTCGAGCTCCCAATTGATGTAGTGCCAACGTATCAGCCATGCAGAGTAACATTAGGGTCTGATCAATATGGGAAGCGCTACAATTTTCGTAAAGAATGTTGTTTATACGGTGGGGTGGCCATGGCACAGCGGCATAACCTTCTTTTATCCTTGTTACTATACTGGAAGGAAGGGTTGAAGATTATGTCTTCATTCTCACAACAATAACGTGCTCTGAATATTAAAGTATTTATTGCCTTTTATTAATCTTTTGGACTACTTTACCTGCTGTTACTTTTGAAAACAAGTAAAAATATATCAAATTATTTATGCCTTTTCATATGAAAAGGAGTTTTTCTTCATAGACACTGTAGTTCTATGGCCTTTTTGTGCATATTTCCAAGCTACTATGCAGCTTAAAATTGATCCCTGAAGCGAACGATACAAATATTTCCCACTGATTTATTCCTCTGACACCGGCTTCTAAGAAGGGCCTACCTCCCAAAGGGGGACTAAAGATACAGAAAGGAATCATTATACATAGTAGGGAGTCTGTTCTCGAAGTACTTCATCCTGAGTAAAAAGAAATAGAGAATGTTCAAAAATCAGCGATACGAGTGGATCAAAAATTTCACGAACGGCGATTTATACTCTGGAGAGGCTATTCCCGACAACGTCAAAGATGGCCAAGGAACCTACTACTGGGCCAGCACTGGCTCCACCTACAAGGGTGCTTGGAGCAAAGATCAGCCACATGGTCAGGGCACGATGACTATTCCAGGAGCGGAAGGCTACACTTATATCGGCAACTTTACATGTGGCAAGCACTGTGGTCAAGGAGAATGTCGCTTCAACAATGACCGAGTATATATTGGCGAATGGCTCGATGATCAAATGCACGGTCAAGGCACTTTACGTGGTGGTGCTGAAGATTCTTTTAAGGAGTACAAAGGGCCTTTCTCCAAAGGTCTAAGAAGTGGGAAAAAAGGCCAGTGCCTTTACACAAACGGTGACCACTATGTGGGCGAATGGATCGACGACATGCGCCACGGTATGGGTGAGTTGACGTTAGCTCCTGAGGAGAAAGGGAAAAAAATATTGAATAAATTCATCTCTTCGCATAAAGGCTCTACTCTTCTCTCTTCCGGTTCAGGCTTCACAGGATATATTCGACCAATGCCTCCTTCAACTACTGTAGCTAGTGTAGTTCACTACAAAGGACATTTTAAGTGTGATATTCCCTCCTGTATAACGGGCGGTAGTCTGATGTACGATGACGGGAGTACATATGTAGGTGCTGTTGACGGGCATCTACGACGTAGTGGCGAAGGGCAACACAATATGGTGAACGGAGATGTATACTCTGGCCATTTTTGCGAAGACGAACGCGATGGTCATGGCGTGTTACGCTGCGCAGCGGACGAACTCAGCTACGATGGCATATGGCTGCATGGAGAGCTCGACGGCTTCGTTGTTTACCACCGTTCTTTCTTAGCATCGCAGCCAAATCTGTCTACAGCTAGTGGTAATGGAGACACCTGCCCCCAAACAAGTCTGAAACCACTGACCATAGTCGACTATGAAGGACCCTGTGCTCGTGGTGAGTTTACGGGGTCGGATGCTGTAATCACTTTTTTTGATCACAGCATGTACCGTGGTGATGTATACGATGGTCAACCTAATGGTTGTGGTGTACTTGAGAATCGCTTAGTATGTGGATCCTTCCCTCCTGCGGCGTTTGGTTCGGAGGTTATGTTTCTACGATATAGTGGCTACTTTTCCAAGGGTGAGCCTGATGGGAGTGGAACCGCGACGCTCCGCATTCCTTCTTCGGACGTCCCTCTCGGTATTAAAAATGACAGTGAAGCAACCTTATTTCACCACGAGGGGCTCACTTTGGTTTCTCCTAGAGAAGAGGGCCTGATATTGCAGTTTAAACAAAGTGGCACTTTCCGAGGGTCGTGGTCTCGCGGGCTCCCGGAAGGCTCTGGTGAGTGGAATTGGGAGAGTAAAAGCAAGGTATATCAGGGGGAGGTGCACCTGGGACTTCCCAATGGCCAGGGTATTTACAAAAGTATATCCGAACAGTACGAGGGTCATTTCGAAGAGGGCCTGCCGAGTGGTTATGGTATCTATAGGAACATTCTGACACACGTGACTTTTCAGGGCAATTGGCTTGCCGGTTTATATCATGGGTTAGGTAACTGGACCTTGACTTCAAGCGGGGCCGGGGGGGACTCATCGTTCGTGCCAATTGATGCCACTTACAAGGGATCATGGCAAAATGGCAAGAAACACGGACACGGCATCGAGTGCAACGCAGAAGAAATCTACGAGGGTGAGTTCGTAGATGGTATGCGCCATGGTCATGGCATCCTACGGCACATTTCTGACGATGGATACTGCTATGAAGGTGATTTTAGCCAAGGAAAATTATCTGGTATTTCAGGAAAATTAACGTTTCCGAATGGAGCGATAGTGACGGGGTCCTTCGAAGACGGTGTACCACACGGTGATAATATATGTGCAGTGTTTCCACTAACATTGACGTTCAAAGGTCGGTATGACCATGGCTGTCCCATTGGAATAGGCGATATTACTTACGCCAACGGGGATCGCTACAGCGGCGAGGTCGAGCTCGCGACTTCTGTGTCTTGTCACCAGGAATGGGCACCTCAACGCCACGGGAAGGGTGTATATACTTTTGTAGAGGGAAATCGCTTAGAGTGCATGTGGCGGCACAACATTCTCAATGGTCATGGTAAACATATTACCCCTAATGGAGAGGTTAGTGAACGGCATTACGCGGATGGTATTATTTTGTCCAAGTCAACTTCCAATACTAACATGTTTACGCCTGGGAACGAGTTTCCAAACACGCAATCAGAGAGAATGCTGAAGGCGAAGCTTGAATCCATGAATCAACCACACAAATTTATTCGTCGTGGTGAGGCGCGACAAGCGGTTAAAAGTGCAGTTTTGGCAGTTTCAGGAAATGTTTCCTTTGCGGCAAAGGAGTATAGCGTTGCTGATACAGTACCGAAAAGCAATGCAACCTCAGCTTCTGCGAAGAAAGAAGTTTCGGATATCACAGCATCTAAGGGTCCAAGACGGCCGCGACATAACGTCACGACACCGACATCAATACCCATCAGTACTTGTATGAACCACAATCCCACGAGTCTTTTCACTGGTGTTATGGAGAAGCGTGCAATGTCAATGGAGGAACCTCGACGACCATTTAGCCAGTCCGCCAAGACAACTTCAGCAAGTATCCTTCCATTGAGAAAGGGGAGTGAAAAGGTCTCGGATACTGGCGCAATAGGTGATCCCGCACATCCTCCTAAGCGGTCTACTCATCGTATGGCAACATCAAAGGTTGTTAAAGATGCAAACAGTCCTCCAGTTGTTAGCGGTCGCAAGGCTACTTCCCAAGAATCCCCTCCGTTATCGTTCTTACCTCAAAGATTGTCTTCTGGTACGAGCACCAATTACACCGCTAAGCGCTCTTCTTCCTTAAGGGTATTTCAGAAACTTATCAAACAGCTAAATGTGAGCAGTGGGGATTCACCAGCTGAAGAGGATGGTAGTGCTGTTGTCCAAGAAGCAGATGGGCTGAGCCTAGGATCTGCAACTCGTTCAGATTGCAATGGTGGTGGTGTGATTGTCAACGGCATTTCGGATTTAACTTCACAGCCGAATTCTAGTGTTGCTCCAGACGCTCCACCTGAGTCCAACCTTGGTATCCTCATGCGGGAGGCCTGTGAAATCCGCAGTACCGCCGAAGACGAAGTCTACACACTTACTGAAAAAGTACGAACCCTAAATGAGAAAATATGGCAACTACGTTTCTTACTTTCTTCAAAACCTGCTGCAGCTACACAGATGCGGGACGGTACGGAAAAACTTAGAGCGGATGATGATACAAGTGACACTAATTGGGAACCGCTGGAGGCGATGCAACGAGAGCGCCGGGAGATTGTTGAGGCTCTTCGATCTAAGCTGAACGAGGAATTTGTAAGGGATTCATAGTTCATCGAAAATATGCCTGCTGGTAGTTCCATAATTATTACACTAGATTTTAGTTTATGTATTTTTTCTTCTTCGTGAAATCAACTCGTACTGTTATACATGCATGTTTTCTGAGGGACCTCGAATTGCTAGGTACATAGCTCCCTTATTTGAGGAAATGGTGATATTTTTTCTCTAATATAGTCGATTTATGTTTCGTTTTGAAAATAGCAAAAATATATCTGGCTTAGATATTTGATATCTGATTATTCCTTTTGCTTCTCCGAGGTACTGAATTTAAAACGTTGTGGGTAGACCCATGTTGTTCTTGCCGCGGTATTGTACATATATATCGATATCTATCTATATATCTCTCTAAATATATACATATAGATTAATTTTTTTTTCGCTTCGCTTTCTGACTTGCTTTTTATGATGCAAGTACATTTATCACATTTTAAAAAACGTAGGTATGTATGCAATACCAACTTCTTTACCTTTCTCTTTTTGACATAACTTGTCTTCAAATAGGTAGGAACTGATAAATTACCCACACACAAAAATTACAACGAGCACAGAGTTCAAAACATTATTCCGTAATATTTTGAGATATGTTGCGTTGCTTTACTCGCTTTGCTGGTTTTTCCGCGTCCAAGGCAATTCCATATATGCCAATATCTGCTTTATCCTCCTCGTCTGAAACCAGCCTCCTGATAGGCGATCCAATCAGAGGCCAAATCGATCCGGTCACTGTCACCTGGACGGACATCATCGGGGACGACTGCGGGGGTTCGTCCAAGCGTCTAGCCGCTGGTCGTATCCTATCAGTTTTGGATTTATGTGCTGGGCATGCCACTAATCGTGTTATGAATAAAATAACCCAATCTACTGGTGCATCCTACAGTTCTTGCACCGTTGGCGTCTCTGGCACTGTCTTTGTGTCTCCTATCTTACATGGCGATGCGCTTCGTGTGAGAGGCAGTGTCATTTATTGTGGTGAGAGTTCTTTGGGGATTTATATCCGTTTTTTCCGGCAGTCTCCATCCACGAAAACCGAAGGTTTGACAGGTGAATCATTTTTCACTATGGTATTTATTACTCAAGACCTCAAACCAGCAAGGGTTGTACCTGCGATGACGCTAACAGATAAAACGGATATTGAGATGCATAAGCGGTATAATGCCATTCGTTCTTTCCAAAAGCAGAATGCTGAGACAACTAAAAAGCTGTTTGAACATGTTGTCACCGAAAGGGAGTCTAGTTGTCCTATTAGTGAACCCAAGCCTTTGTATGTACCTATCAGCACTACATACTGCCATGCGAACCGCATCTTTTTTTTAGGTCATTTAAACAACAACAACACCGTATTTGGTGGAGAGCTAATGGGGTGGATGGAGCGACATGCTGTACACTGTGGCAGAATGTTTACAGGAAATAGAAATATATTCACTATCAGTATGCATAGTTTGTCCTTTGACGAACCAGTGTATGCTACTGATTGGGTTAGCCTCAGCGCAAACGTTATTTACGTTCGTAATACCACTATGGAGGTTGACGTCATGCTCTCTGCTGAGCGCGCGAATGGGTCTGTGATCACCAATCGTGCCTCATTTGTTCTCATTAACACAAATGATATTGGACAGAAAATAAGCATTCCTATTGGTCTTGACCTCTCAGTGGCTTCCCAGGATGAATTGAAGCGGTATGTAGTTGCAAAAAAACGGTACCAAAGTGGCTTTGAAAATTCCAAATACATTAGGAATTTAGTATGAAAATCATATCTGTAAGTATATTATATATATATATAATATTTCGAATATATAAGTACGGTGTATGCATACCTTATTAATAAAAAAAATCAAACAACAAAATGTATAATGGTTCAAACGTGTGGGCTTGCATCCCTAATCTATAGGTAATAAAAACTTAGGTCTGAAACTAATAAGTGACATGAATATAAGAAATGCGTGTTTAAGTGCACATGTTGTGAATTAAATTATTTTGTCATACATAAATGTAGTGTGGCCTTATAAGCCTTTGCTTATTAAATATTATCACTTAGAAATTATTCACTCGAACGCTTTGTTAGCGTGATTTTTTTCAGTATTTACCATTTGCTTTGAGATACACAACCTCAAGATGTCATACGATGGTCGTGAATTAGTGTGTGGATTTTTTCATATTTGGCATTATACACTTAGTTATCAGATTTATTAACTTAGCTTTTCTTTATTCGGTATCATGTTTTTTTTCTGTATCAGAGGAATATCTCTTTAATTGTAGCATCTGTATCACGAAGACTAATACATTACTATTATTATTCCCCTTCATTTTAATTAAGAAAGATTAGGGTATGTATTTTATTGCCTAAATGATGTACGCTCTCACTACGGACATTGCACCTGAAGCCATTGAACAGCTGTTAGAATATCTGCGGGAAGGCAAAGAGCACCTTGACAAACTGAAGGAGCAGAAACAAGTACTTCAGGAGCAGATTGAAAAAGAAGAAAGTCATCTCATGGGTATCAAACATGACGTCCAGTGGCGTCAACTCATGGCGGAGGTAGAGGTGATTCGAAATGAGGAATACTTACACAATGACAAAAACGGAGGAAATAGCATCGGCATTACCCACCTGTGCGTCGTCTTTGAGGATGCTATTCAAAAATTCAAAAGCAGCCTCATCCAACCCGAGGACTACGATTCCGGCAGTGGAGACGAGTCTGTTATTCCATATAGTGACACTGACGATTACGCAGACTTCACTATTGTCGAAGATGTCATTGAAGATGCATTAGGGGGAGTGGAGTCCTTGTTAATGACAAACAGCACAACACAGTCAGGGTGCTCGCATACCAGGAAATCATCCTTCGCATCGCTATATGCCCAAGAGGCTTTTGCGGACCACAAGTTCAGTGCGTCGTCAAATAGTTCACAAACTTGTTCCTTTTCGTACGAATCGGTTCTCGGTAAAGACCGGATGACCACCGCCAGGAAAGGTAGTTGCAGTGATGCGACTGATGGTGGTGAGGAATATCGAGCCGCGCGCCGCCGTGGACTTTTGCTTCTTTTAGTACTCTCATTGTATGTGGGACGAATTGAGGAGCTTTGCGGCTTTGGCGAGATACCTGATCAGAGTGATGTTCCAAGCGCGGACGCCGATGAGGCCCGCGACAGTGTTGTGGCGATGTGGCAATCATTGCTTTATGAATCAAGGGTCCTGACAGAAGATGAACGAAAAGAGTGGATTAGCATAGTCACCAGATACCTTGGCTCTCCGTTCGATACCCCACCTTTGAGAAGTATTATTTGAAGATCTATAGGAAAATAGACGCAATATGCTATTTATTTATTGCGAGAACTGAGTAAAGTTGGCAGCATCAAAGTGGTTACAGACTACAGAACATGTTAAAGACACAAATATCATATTTATGTTTTTGAACCTTTTAAACAAGCTATTCCTTGGATACAACCTTCCCTCCCTCTTAGAGTATTTTACTGCAATGTTTTATTTATAGATTGCTGATTGTATCGGCATTCAAACCACTTAATGCTTCTTTCATGGAAATCTCAGTAGCATCCAGAAAAAGTGAAGGGGGATGAGGCTGAAATTCTTGCTTTTATTCATTGAAACAAATTAGCTAAAGAAAAGCAATAAAGAATAGTACTGAAAAAAAGTACCAATTTATCGTAGAGGACTAGTATTAATGAATTTCAAGCGCTGTATTTTATTTCGTTCGTTTAGTCAACCACGCTTGTATCGAATAGGCCCCCATAGCTCACCTGTAAGTAGGCACCTTAGTTGTGAACACCCAACAATTTTTGCTAAAACCCCTTTCCGGTCCAATCGAGAAATTTCCCAAACACCTTATCACTTTGAGCAACTTTATATTGATTCGACAAATTTGGTATCAAATGACGTCGATCACGGGCATCGCTTAGATTATTTTCATGGAGATCATGATGAGTTCCTGTCCAGGACTCAGAATGGTGCAGTTATTTTGTTTTTCTATAGACCAGTTTGCAGTGTGTGCGCACTACTTGAGTCTAAAATTAAACATGCTCTGATGGGGCACCATGTTTATACCGAGAAGGAGTCCATGGTGTACTCAGCAGAACGTCCTCTTTTTGAATTATTCAATCAACCTGGAGCTTTGGCACCTTCCAGCGTGCCTTCGTCAGAAGAGGGATTTTTAAATAATTCCAAGGGAGTTTACGCATATCCCAACGACAGCGCTAGCCGCACGTCAAATGGTTTCAAGGAACGTTTGAGTTCATTCTTGAGGGTGAAGCGTTTGGTGCATCCGCGTTTTCATTTAGATAAAAATGACAGCGGAGGCACTGCCCGCGGCGCTACAGCAGTTTCCGACAGGGGTGGCGATCGCAGTAGTATGGAAACGAAGAAGCCCTCGTTCTTTGAAAGCAACTACCCCCAAGAACAAAAGCAAGCAAAGGATTCCTTTCAGTTTGCCCTCATCGACTCTATTCACTTCTTGGCTATAAACACGGATGAAAATGAACGTTTGACGTCATTTCATGACGTGCGCAATGTTCCAACATTTTTGGCATACCTTGATGGATACATAATTGCTAGTACTGAGGGTGCAAATGAAATAGGGTTGTGCAAACTTGTGAGGCTCTTATCTGATGAAGCTGAAAATCAAAAGAAGAAAAAGGAAACTCGAACAAACAGTGAACCTTAGACTTTTAACTGGAGCAAACGCACATAATGAACAGATCTGAGCTATATGAATTAGCTTTATCATTTAATAACATAGTAGAAGGAAGGGGGGGGGGGGGGTTATTTTTTAAGAAGTAAGCAGAGAGTTCTGGTATTATTATGCATGAGTTAAGCTTTAGGCTTAAGCAGTTCTTAATATATGGCTTTTTGTGGAATAAAGTTGATACTCTTTCACTAGTCATGGAGAAATTTTCACCTTTGTCTGCATTTTTATTCTCTCAACTTAGAAGCGGCTATAGAAATATACTATTTTGATATTCTTATCATGTTTTATCTCGAGTCTACACCATAATGCTTGATTTTTTACATCAAGAATCCAAATGCTACACACGTAAATACATATCTATATCTATATCTATATATATATATATATATATATATATA